CATCTGCATCGGCATTTTGCTTTCCGGCGCGGTAGGTTATTTTGAAGTCGTAGGTGGAAAGAGCAGACAACCAGCGATAGCTGGTTGCATCAAGTTTGGCGGAAGTGAGGAGGTAAGTTAACGGATTACTATCAGTAACAACCGTGAAAGAAGTGCCGTACAAGTAATCATTGAACTTTTCAGTGACTGCCCATTTCAAGGACAGGAACTCCAGCTTGTGGGCTGGGTACCTCGACTCACTTCGGGATAACCCCCTGCTGGCGTAAGCAATGACCCTTTTTTGTCCTTCCTGCTCTTGATATAAAATGGCACCAAGCCCAATGGAACTGGCGTCGGTGTGGAGCAGGTAAGGTAGCTGTGGGTTAGCGAATGCAAGCACCTGAGCAGAGGTAAGTCGTGACTTCACTTGTTCGAATGCTTCCTGACATGCAGGGTCCACCGACCTCCGAATGGCTCTTTGGGGTTAAAGTAATGTTCTGGTCTGATAAGGGGTTTCATCTTCTTTTGTGACGGGGGATACCCAGAGGTAAGTTCATGAAGCGGTTTTACAAGGTTCGAATAACCTTTAATGAACCGCCGGTAATAACCGGAAAAACCAAGAAAGGATCTGAGCTCTTTAAGGTTCTTCGGGATCGGCCAAGACTTCAAAGCTTCGATTTTGGCCGGATCAGTCTCAACACCATCTTTAGAAACAATGTGTCCTAAATAGCGGACAGAGCTCTGAAAGAAATTGCATTTCTCAACAGAAAGCTTCAAACCAAAGTCTTTCAATCTTTGTAAGACTTTCATCAGTCTCTCCTCATGCAGCTCCAATGTGGGGGCAAAGACAATGAGGTCATCTATAAACACAAGCACTTCTTTCAAGTTCATTTCCCCGACACATTTTTCCATCAAGCGTTGGAATGTCGATGGTGCATTTGTGACCCCTTGGGGCATTCTATTGAATTCCCAAAATCCGAGTGGGCACACAAAAGCAGTTTTTGATTTGTCTTGGTCGTCCATTTCGATTTGATAATATCCAGATTTGAGATCTAATACTGAAAACCATTGTGATCCTGATAAGGCAGTAAAAGTGTCTTCATGCTTTGGAAGAGCATAAGCATCTTTTATTGTCTGCAGGTTGAGTTTCCTGTAATCAATACAGAGCCGGACACTTCCATTCTTTTTCCTTACAACCACGATTGGCGAAGCGAATGGTGAGTCGGACTCTCTTATTACTCCTGAGTCGACAAGCTCTTGAAGGTGTTTTCTCACCGCATCAAGATCTTGGGGGTGTATGGGTCTCGGTCTCTGTTTGAAAGGTGTTGGATCGTTTAGTTTGATCTGGTGCTTTACTCGATCGGTTCTGCCAAAATCCAGATCGTGTTTAGCAAAAACTTCTGGGATGCTATTGAGTTTATGGATGATTCGGTCTTTCCACTCTGGAGTCAGAGGTGAGTTTTCAAAGTTAAAATCAAAGAGTGGCTTTGTCAAAGTGTCGGAATGAGATGTGGGACAAGTCTGTTCAGCGCATGAGATTTTCTGGAAGGCACTGATTTCAGCAAGCATGGCTCGAGGGGGTAATGTCACGTCGTGGTCAGTTTCATTGGTAACAGGTACCGGTAGACGGACTGGATGCTGGCTGGAGAAATCGACAAGACACGACTGGATCATCAGACCACCAGGTAAGTGAAATGATGTGGGATGTTCGATAACGACAGATTTCTCAGCTTGCAGAGATGGTGCGATGGCAGTTCCTTCTAGAAGGATAGTCTGTCTGGCTGGGATTATTTGAGACGTGATACTGTTCAATCTTACGATGCCATGATGCTCTGCTTTGTTCAGTTTATGGCGGTGCTCAAGGATTTTCATGACCACACGATAGCCATAAGGAACTGGATAAAACTCGGGGCTTTGCTGGCTGTGAAAGGCATAGACAATGTCTAGCGTGTTGGTACCTATCAAAAGAAAAGGCTGATGGGGCTTGAAGTCAGGAACTACAAGGGCTAACGTAGCAACGTCAAGCTGAGTTCCCAAGAAGTCACTGGGAAACGTGATATCAAGGTCTATGTAACCCAGGTAGGGCACAGCTTGGCCGTTCGCACCCTCGACCTCAAGTAAATCCTCCAGGGGCTTCAGTTGATGATCCGACAAGTATGTGTTATAGTAAGATTGTGAAATGGTGGTGACTTGCGACCTGTGTCTAGCAAGCAGTTTATGGGTTTGTTGTTGATAACGACCTGAGCAGTACACTTTGTACCAATCAGTCCTTTCGGAAGTATGTGACAAGGCTGTTGGGATTGATGGTTAGGACACTGAGTGGATGCAGCCTCTGCTTGTCCTGCAGGAGAGGCTGAAGTTAGTTTAAATGATTCTTTTGGTTCTGGTCCCACCTTTGTTGGTTTTGTCGAAGTTGAGTTTTCTTTTGTTGCACGAGTGTAGAGTTGGCAGGCTGGTTACAGGTTGTGACGATGTGACCATCTTCTCCACACTTGTAGCAAAATCCAGGTCGGGGTCTGGTGTTCTGGGGTCTACTGCCACCTGTTGGTTGGAAATTGGGTTCTTTGATTCGGTTGACGTTCTTGGAGGTCTGGGTAAGGAGTACTGACATTTGTTGCTGGAGTGCTCTCATTTGTTCCTTCAGCTCACGGATGGAAGTGGAGTCTGCATTGGAATGACTGCAGGGACATGTGGTCTGGGCCTGAAGGGTGGCACGTTGCTTGGAGGAGCCCATATGCTTTTTCATTAAGCTCTCTTTTGCCAACTGCCGGTCCTCTTCGGTCCTCAACAGCAGAAGCAATTCAGCGAAAGATGGTGGATTGTCACGCTTTTGTTCTAGCTGGAGTTTCCCAATAATGCCATTGTCCCAACATCCTCTGCAGAACTGTCTCAGTAAGTGTTTGTCGACATCTGCTGCCACGACTCCTCCACGCTTCACAACGGTATTCAGCGTAAGAAGAAGACGTTGCAGGTAACTGGAGGGGTTCTCCCCAGCGTCCTGAAGTGTGTTTAAAAACTGGGCGAACAGCTCTTCTCCATCCTGCACCGTGGAGTATGCAGAGTCTAGCACTTGTAAATAAACCGATGGCAGTGTGTCTGGTCTGAGTCCCTTCACACGACGTCGGCAGCGGGTGACAAGAGACTTTCTATTATTCTGCGGGTGACATGCAGTGGAGGTAAATTGACATCAGTTAGTAAAAGTTCAATATGTGATCGCCACGTGTCGTAATCGGCTTCATTTTGTGTTTTGGGAGTTTTTCCAGAGAATGGACGAAGACGGACTGCAGGTCCGGAGTGAGTGGCAAAGTCTTCCGCTCGCACGATATGTTCCACCACCATTTTCTGGACTTGAGGTGGATTAAGATCGGCTTGCGTGAGTGGCACACCCTGCTGGCCAGGCAAGGGCGGTGCCGGGTCCTCACTCTTCATCGGCTGCTCTCCTTGTCCACCAGTGGGCTCCACACTGTCCAAGTGACTGCTGATCTGCAGCATTACTTCCTAACACCAGTTCCAGATTCTGTCCACTGCGTCTTGCGATACGTTTAAGTTCTTCCATGTAATCAGGGGGAGGGGCTGAGGCTGTGCTACTCTCACTCAATGTAGTCTTACTCAATGCTACATGAAAAGAGAGTTCTGGATTTGTGCTTAACACATGGGTATAAGGGAGAATATGTTTGAGTTCTATGATGGAGGACTCATGTTTATATTCAACGACCAGGTTTTTACTGTCAACTGCTCTTATCTTATGAGAACCATAGTTCTTTAATTGTTCTAGCAGTTCTAGTTCATTACTACCGTTTATTTCGCCAGTAATAGTGACACAGTTCTTAATGTTCAACCCTGATTTTTCAAAGAATTTTTCCATAGTGGACGAAAATTTAGATTTTTTTTTTTTTCCAATTTCAGATTAATTAAATAATCAATACCACATTCAAACACAAGCTCCTGGCTAGCTCGCCATTTGTAACACTAATTTAAAGTAAGTGAATAACAAACAATTAGGTTAGGGCTAAGGGATGCAAGGAAACTAAGACTGACTGACAGAAAGAAACTAAATACGTGAGAGGAGCTTGTGGGAATGAGGACCAGGGAGACGGAGTAACGGAATAAAAAATATTGTATTTGTAAATGTTTCTTTTTTGTGAGTAGAAGATAGAAGTGGAAAACAAGCAATCAATAAATATAACCAATATATTTCAAAAACAAAGTTCAATATTCAAAGTGTGCAAAAAAAAAAAAAGGAAACAAAAAAAGAATTCTCAAAATAAGATGTAAAGGGAAAACCCAACCATGGGGAAAAAACCCTTTTTAATAGTTCTCAGTTCGAAACTCTCGGTTGAGAGGAAAGTTCAGTTACGGTTAGAAAGTTTGTAGAAAACAAAGTAGATTCCTTTCATAAAAAAACAATAATCCTTCATTCCAGGGGGGAAAGGTGTCCAAACTCAAAGTGTCCACGTATTGGGGAAAAAAATAAAGGTCCTACCAGTTGCAGGCTTCTGGGCTCAGCTCGCCACCTCAAAAGAGGAATTTTAATTCAGTTCTGGTTCAGGGTGGAAAAAAACCTGACCGCTGAATGCTGGAAGTTTTCTGATCAGTTTTCTGTTAGTTACAGACGCTTTCAGCTAGACTGCCACACAGGGAAGGGCTAACAGGAAGTAGCCAGACCGTGCATTAGCCTGACGGCCATACTTTAACTACAGCGCCATCAGTGGCGGGGCCAATGAACTGTCTGGGAATCAATGAGGATCAGAGGAAAAGACCTGGGTTACATGTGTCTGTGTTGATCTGGGCCTTGAGTCTTATCTATCTATCTATCTTGATTTTGTTTTCCCTCACTTGTTGTTCATCCCAAGTCTCTCCCACGTTTGTCTTGTTTTCAGTTCAGGAATTTGGTTAACTCGGATTTATTTGATTATTTTACTTCATTTTTACAGTCCTACATTTTGTGTTCCCCTTTCACTTAACCCAGTCGGAACTTATGAGTTTCCGAGATCGCATGGAAGCGGCAATAGCTTTATCCTATGGACATCGGTGACATCAGGATTTTGTTTTGTGACATTTTGAGGGTTCCTCCTCCTCCTCCAATCAGTCCTGTGGGTCTTGTTGACAGACGAAGGCCCCCTCTGTGTCTCGAGCACAGTGACCTTCATGCGATGGAGGTTTCCGGTCTAATTCAGCTCCACTCCTTCATCCATTAGCTCTGTCCCATCAAGCGCAGCCCATAACTCAGACAACACAGCCCCGGCCGTTATCCAGCACTTTGGATGTTAATGCTCCTGTGTACAAGAGAGGACAAGGTTGTTCAACTCCTCCAAAGCAAAGTTTTTTTGTTGAAAAAATTACATCCAGTTACACCAGTTACATCTCAAATCTTTTATGTGTCTAGAATAAACAGTCACACAGTTCAGTGGGGAATTTTCACTCACCCTTGTGCACATTACAACAAAATAAAAAGAGGAAATAAGTCAAGTTGCACACATTGAACCTGATCTATTAAGATAGTTGAGAATAACATGAAATATTAAAATAATAGGCATTGGCCTTTGAGTCTGAAGGTCGTGGGTTCAAGCCCACTTTAAGACCTTCGCAAACCGATTCCCACCGATGTTTGCTGTTGTTTTGTCCTTGAGCAAGACCCCACTTTGCCCAAAACTCCCGCTGAAAGATCAAGGCTGTGATGTCACTGAGAGACCAGCCATCTTCCTGTGGACCCACCACCTGCAGGTGGATCAGTGAGGGGATGGTGCTCTGTGGACAGGTCCGGTCTGAAGCGCTCCCCCCCGATCCAGAAATGGATTAAATTGGAAGAACATAGATGAATGGATGGAACTCTGGAGCTATAATTGCACTTGGTTCATACATTCTCATCTCATTAAGAGTACAAGTATCACATCAAAACAACTGTCAAGATTATTTACTTGCAGTACTTGCATCTGTATTATTCACTGTTCATTTAATTCTAGAAGTCTATCAAAGTCAGAGAAAAAATAACTTTCCACATGAGAGCATTCAAGCAAAATAACTCATAAACAAATTGGCCAAATCCAAAAATGTTGGATAACTTTATGTTCCAATGGAAATGCAGTTTCAAGGGAATTTTTCCAGCCCCTAATATCTCTAATCTATGCCATGCCATATACTGTAGTGTAGTCTATTCGGCATGATCTTGATAAGCATGATCAGCCTCTCTCCAGTTACGTTTTGATTGGCTCTGGTTCACTGATCGCCGTCATGGAGCTCGTCAGCATGGTTACTGCCAGAGTCCATCTCCATGCTGGCTGTGATGTGGTATTGCATTTCCATTCAAGTCAATTCAATGTATTCTTATATAGCCCAACTGAACTCTGACTGGGCTGCTTTTAAACATGAACTGATTTTTGAAAACAAATCAGTAGTGTGATCATTAATGAGTTACAGGTCACCTGCTTTTGCATTATGCGAATATTATAATGTAAAATTTGTTTTTAATTGTGTTAAAAGCCCTCCCAGGGACAGACATTGCAAATTAGCCTGAGTTATAAATGTTGTAGTGTACACTTGTCCCTAAATAAATTAATCACAACTGTAGTTATCTCGGTGGACTTTACACGACTGTTGAATTTGGCAACATAGATCAGAGAAACAATCAGTTCAAAAACAGGAAATAAAAAAGAAAACACATTGGTATTGGTCCACAAGAGGCAGAGGACCAACATACAGTAAGTGTTGATAAAAGCCAATGCACAGATGATCTATGATGATATAAAGCAGGTTTTTGACTGTAATGTAAGATGTGTTATGCTCATTCCCAAATTGAGAGTTAAGTACAGAAATAAGCTGTCTAATTTACTATGGTTAGTTTCTATTCTAACATGTACATATTTCACATATTTTACTCTAATTTCAAAAGCTTCCAACTAAGAATTAAAGCCCTGGTTCCCTGTAACAGCTGATTTTCTGCTCTGAAACAGTGGAGCAGTCCTCAAACAAAGACTGCTACCGCGCGGCCTGCTGGGTAATGAGCCCCCAGGTTCCTCTGTGCTTCTGTGAGTGGCAGGACTACAGCTGGGCTCTGGTGTTGTCCAGCTGAGCGAACAGGCTCCCCCTCCTCTTCCTCCCCCCTCTTCTCCCCGGGACAATACTGTGGTAGCGGCACACGTTTAGCTGCGATTAATTAATGCGGGGCTGCACTATGTATCAAAACTAACAGAGATGTCCCCCGCTGGGCAGATCCACCTGTGTCTCTCCTCTCCTTATCTGTTCTGCCCACGGGACGCTTTCTAACACACACAACTACACACATTGGGGCCACAAGGAGTTTGAAAAAAAGTAATTTCATGGGGCACTAATAACTCTGCCTGTGAAAATGACTTTGTGAAAGATGTGAATTCAATGAATTTGAATTATAATACCAGACGCAGTTCAAAGAGGCAGTCTTCCATTGCAAGGAACATTAAAATTTAAGCCCAGCAAATGAAGGGGAGTACATTTCGGTGGGATTTAGCTTTAGTCAGAAGAGATTTTCCTCTGTTCTCTGTATAGTGCTTCACATTCACTTTTATAATATTTGTGTTATTGCAGCTAGTGCATATTGGATTCCTCTCATGAGCAGAGTGTTTTAATGTTGTCAAACAAATTTAATGTAGGAACACTCTGAGATTATATATATATATAAAAAGTTCCTTTTCAACTTCTAAACATAGCATTTATCTTGTGTGCCGGGTCACTTTTTTCATTTTCTTGTATACTCTATACTGTATCTACATGGAAACAAGCAAATCAAAATTACAAATACACTGTAAGCTTTTTGGACTGCACAATGCTAATACAGTGTTGAATGTTGACAGTAATAAGGCTCAGTTCTGATATCATTCATTCATTCATTAATCTCCATCGGTGGTGAGTCCCAGGGAGGAGGACACAGCCTTGGTCTTTCAGCAGGGGGAGTGGGAGAGAGAGTGGGAGAGGGAGTGGGAGAGAGAGTTGGAGAGAGAGTGGGAGAGAGAGTGGGAGAGAGAGTGGGATATCAATTCTGCTCCTATCGATCCTTACATTTGATGTAGGAAACGCTATTGACTGGGGTTGACTTACTAGCTCATTGACAATATACAAAAATCCATGTTCATGTTAATATAAAGCCAATGCATCAAGAAGCCAAAGATGAATCATGGATCTTATGTATAACAAGTGGGAACATACCAAACCATGATAGTGATCTGAAAAATAACATTACAAATAAAGTGCTAAAATAAAGTTTTCGATCACAATTTCTAAAACGTGTTTGGTTTATAGATAATGAGAATTTTCAAATTGGTGAGAGGAGCAATAAGCAGTGTACTAAAAATTGTCCCTTTGCTTCTATATATAAAGAAATCCTGATGATGACAAGCATGCAGCACAACCTACAATAATGTTTTTTTTTTGCATTTAGAAAAATTACCATCCCAAAGTCTTGAGCAGTTATGGGAGTTAACAAGTTCTTTTTGCATGTCAAATGGTCCCCATGTGTTTGCCACCATTAAAACACTGCTGATCTGCGGTAGAGACCATATCTTAAAGGTTCCTTTCCAGCTTCCTGCAGAGTTCAAACTCTGATTAAATTAGGATTTATATCTCACACAGGGGTGGTGGCCTTTGTTGTTATTGTTCTGCTCGCTATGTCTCCAAACGCATTATCAAGCACCTCTGAGATCTGACGAGGGAAGGGAATGATCTGATTAGCGGCTCTAATTAAACCAAAAGTAGAGTTTAGCTGAAGGTGCCGGAAAGGTTAAGGATTGCTGAGAAAGGCCTTTTGAAAGTCCCTAATAAAAGGAATGGCGTCAGCGAATAGGTGACAGTGTTCAGTGCTGCGCTTCGCTCCTGGCATCAAAGCGGAGAGGAGCTTAATGTTCACTGGGGACAATAACAGAATGAGACTATAATATTCACGGCCTTGGATGCTATTTAGATCACATAAAAAGTATAGCCATTATAAAATATCAAAATGTACTTTACAATGCTCAGTCAATAAATCACCTTCATATCCTATTTCACATTTGAATGAATAAACAGAGCATCTGTAATTGAATAGTTATTTTTTGCACAGTTGAACCAGTTGCCACTTAAAAGCCAGATCAGCATATGACTAATATTTTCCGCATGCTCAGATTCCCCTAGGTGAGCAGTGGATGTCCGCAGCTCCTACATATTAACCATTAGCCTCGTGTCTGCATCTGTGATTAGATTATATAAGTAGACATCTTAGTTGGATGTACAGTTGCATATTATTTTCCTTACAAAACCAAATTGGATTGTTTTTCTTGAACTGAATCAGAACTGTGTACTTTGACATAAAGTACTTAAAACTTAACTGGACTCTGCACTTAAACCAAAGTTCATCTAAAGGAACTGAATTGACAACAGAAGTGAACTGAACTCTGAAACCATATCCATAAAGGTTAAAAAGGGTTTTGTAGGTGTCAAATTGTCCCTGTTACTCGTCTGGCTTATTTGTTATGCTATTGCCTTTGGTACATTATTAGTTTTGATGATTTTTCATATTGATATTTTTGTAGACTATAATATAATCTGCTATACAATTTATTATTTCACAAAACTATACTTCTCTTTGTTTTCATTCCCATAAACTCCCATACCAAACTAAATGTATTCTGCCAGTCATATAACACCATTGCCACATACCACCCTAACTCGATTTGAACTAGAATTTTCCATGTGCAAGCTGTGAGTGGGGGCAGACGAACATGTGTTGGTTGGCTTGAAGTTGAGCCATAGCTTTGGGCAAAGCCGTAATGCATTTGTCTGTACTGTAACATACTGTACAGCTGTATATGTCAGAGCTGGAGTCAGGGCATTACTTACTTTGTTCAATGATTTACAGTAGCTTGTGGCACGGTGACTCAGCAGTGAGCAATAGTGCTTCTTCGTTAGGAGGTCCTGGGCCAGAGGGGGTCTTTCTGTGTGGGCTTTGTCTATGAGGGTTTCCTCCAGGTGCTTCAGATTTCTCAACCACTAAAACACGTACAGTGGTATGCAAAGGTTTGGGCAATATTCAGGATTTTCCTCTTTAAATGATTGGTTGTTTTAGACAAGACAATTCAGTAAAATGTATCACATAGGAGACAAACACAGTGATATTTGAGTGAAATAGTTTGAATCATTTACAGAAAGTATGCAAGATTTTCTGTATCCAAACAACCAATGATTTATTAAGGAAAATCATAAAAGATTGATTGGGGTGCCCAAACTTTTGCAACACACACTCATTCAACTTTTTCAAGGTGAATGAGTGTGTGTTGGTGAGTTTGGGACAACACATGGAATTAGCCAAAGACTACAATCTAGTGTCTGATTATGTATAAGACTTGTTCTTTATTCCTTTCACGTTTACATTTCACAGCATTCATTATCACGCAGTCGTAGTCCCAGTCAAAAGACGACTATTTGGGTAAAGTGCTGGCAAAGTCTCTCTACCTTCCAGAAAAGTCTAAAAGCAGAAATAGATCATTTCATGACAGAAGCCACTGGGTGTTCGAGCCCAACTAACGAGCAACAGCGCGGCCAATTTCTACCTGGCAGGATGCACTGTTTTGCTGCAGCATTGGCTCATAAATCGGGTCTCATTTGGGAAACCAGCAGGTGACAATAGTGGGAGTGGAGGATTGGGAAAGCGAAGAGTGACTGGTGGTGCATCCTGGAGCATGGCGAGGCATTCAATAGCAGATGGGACTTCACGGCACTCCCAACACAGGAGTCTTTTTTTTCATGCCACATGCAACGTCCCAGGAACTAAAAACAACAGAGCAGCAGTGAGTAGAGTGTAGGGGTGTGACAATGTTGGAAAAGATTGTAATATGTACTTTGAATTGGTTTTGATGAGCTGGAAGTAAGCCCAAATGTCAAATTGTGTTGTTTTTTAGAAGTTACAGTAATACGGCCAAGCCTCCACACTATCAGCATTGCACTTTTAGTTTTATATTTTTAGCTTTCATTTAACCAGGAAAGTCCCAATGAGATTAAGAACCTCTATTTCAAGGAGGTCCTGGACAAGAGGCAGCAAAATACATAATAATAATACATGTTATTTAAAAGCGCTTTTCAAAATACCCAGACACTGTGCAAACTTAGTTAAAAACAGAGAGCAACAAAACATTAGCAGTTACACACTAAAGAATATTATAACAACAGTTTCAATGTCAATGATAATGTCTCGAGTGCTCTCAATTTGGATTTAAAAACATTCAATGAAATTACACGTAGAAGGAGCACTTGAACGACTTTGCTATTCTCAAAGTCCAAATCTTGATACTCAATGATAATGTGTTGTTGTTATACTGTTTCTTGTATAATGTGTTCCTATCACTGGGGCTGTCTGTGTTTGCTCAGAGCCAAATGTTGTTAAAATCCAAGTTACAGACACGGCCATGAAACATTTAGGATGCAATACGGCTTTTCCTCCCCTCGTTTTGGAGAAATGTTGTTGTTATTGTGTGCTTCAGTGTGAGTGACTGCGGTGCTTGCGTTTGCAGCTGACGTACCTGCCTCCGCCGTGGGGAGAGTGCGAGTGGAGAGCCCTGGAGTCCGGGTTCTTCCAGGTTTACAGCGTGACGGCCTGCAGGATTGACTGTGAGACTCGCTACATCGTGGAGAACTGCAACTGCCGGATGGTGCACATGCCAGGTGAGTGTGTGTGTGTGTGTGTGTGTGTGTGTGTGCACTTGTTTTCAACTCCTGGTGGGTTCCATAACCTGAGATTCCACTCACGTCATGGGGACTGGTTTTACGTGGTGGGGCCCGAACACCGGACCCCACTGGTCCAAGCTTAATAATCAATGGGTAATGCTTTTCTAACGGTCCTTATGCAGTCTCTGTAAAAATATGGAAAGGACCCCTGGAGGTTTACTTTCCTGAAAAAAGTGTGTTCTGTGTCGGAACCCTGGTGGTGGGTTGCGGAATATCAAGGAGGGGCACACTGGGGCAATTTCAGTCCAGCAGGCTGGAGCCAATCATGGAGCAGCACAACAGAGGAAATCAGGTGTCAGGCTAGAAAAAGGTGCAAGTGTGTGGTTCATTAGGCTGCAAGAAATCATGGAGGAGCACACTGAAGCGCACGCTTACAAACCACTGGAAAGTGCTGACTACAAGACATGACTTCAAATTGTTATATAGAATTATTACAAATTATTTGTTGTTTGTGCAGCTTAGTCAAGAGTCCCTAATTGATGAAGTCGACTCAGATTCTGACGATTTAACTGTCAAGAAGAAACCTGTAAAAAAGTATGGAAAAAGAAAAATCAAAAACACTTTTCTTCAAGACTCGGAAAGTGACGAACCAAAGGCAAATAAGATTGTTATCATGCAGCTGCAAAAGAAGAAAAATGGGGGGAGAGTTTACAGCAAGAGACACTTCTGCCTCTACTGTTCAATGTCCTGCCACAAAATGTCCCGTCATTTGACAAGAAAACATGGAAATGAAAGTGACGTAGCCAGAGCATTGGCTCTACCTGTGAAATCTAAAGCACGTAAACTTCAGTTTGATTTGATCAGGAATAGTGGAAACCGTGAGCACAATTTTGAGGTTTTAAAGGCCGGCATTGGAACTTTAGTCCCAGCTAAACAGCCAAATTCCCCAGTTAAATCCAGTGAGTTTTTGCACTGTATAGACTGTGGGGCATTGCTTAAGCGAAAGTCGCTGTGGAGGCATGTGGCCAGGTGCCGGCTTTCACAGAAAGATGCCCAGGCTAAACCAGGTAGAAGTAGGGTCCAGTCCCTCTGCTCCCTAGCCCAGCCTGTACCGGAGGGCATCAGCAAAAATCTGTGGTCTTTAATTTCGGCAATGCATCAGGATGAGGTCACGGGTGTCGTCAAAGCAGAAAAGGGGATTCTGAGACTCGGAGAGCACCTGTACTTAAAACACGGGCATGATAAGACTAAGCATGATTACATTAGGCAGAAAATGAGAGAAGTCGGTAGGTTAATTAACGAAGCAAAAACCGCAGGGAAACTGAAAACAATTAAGGATTTCTTTATTCCTTCCAACTTTAACCATGTGATTGATGCAGTCAGGTCTGTGGCTGGATATGATGAGGAAACAAATCAATACAAGACTCCATCCTTGGCCCTCAAACTCGGCCATAGCCTCAGAAAGCTAGCAGATATTCTTGAATGTGACTCAAAAATGGAGCATTGTGTTGATGAACTATTTATTAAAAACCTCCAACGAAGCCGGCTGCTTTTTGAGAAGAGGTGGGACGTCTGTGTTTCTTCTGCTGCCCTACAGACCCTCCGGCAAGCCAAGTGGAACACTCCGGACCTGCTCCCTCTGACTGAGGACGTTAGAGCCATGCATGCACATATTGAGGTATGTCGACCTGAATATGTGCAAACCCTAATAAGTGAGCCAACGTCTAAGCATTGGTCTAAATTGGCAGTTTTGACTCTTTGTGAGGTCATTATTTTCAATCGAAGAAGGGAAGGTGAGGTTTCAAAAATGCCACTGACAGCGTTTACCTTAAGAAGTAAGACTGGGATCCATTCTGACATTGCTCTGGGACTGTCCGAACTTGAGAAAAAGCTGTGTCAGCATTTTCAACGCATTGAAATTAAAGGGAAAAGAAGTCGGAAAGTGCCGGTTCTTTTGACTCCTGAAATGATTGCTTCGATGGAGGTGCTGGTGGAGAACAGAAGGGCCTGTTCCATCTCTGACCATAACCCATACTTCTTCTCCCGCCCGGGCGCAGACACCCACATCAGGGGATCAGACTCCCTACGGCAGGTAGCCAAAGAATGTGGTGCGGTGCATCCAGAGATGCTATCCTCAACCAAACTTAGAAAGCACATAGCTACTATGTCTACAGTTCTCAATATGAAAGAGAATGAAATGGACATACTAGCCAACTTCCTCGGCCATGACATTCGCATCCACAGACAATATTACAGACTACCAGAGGGGACACTGGAGCTGGCCAAAATCAGCAAAGTGTTGATGGCCATGGAGCAGGGAAGAGTGACGGAATTCGAAGGAAAGAGCCTCGACCAGATACAAATTGAGCCTGAAGGTAATTCTTGATATTATTAAAATATGTATGATTTTTTTCCCCTAAAGGTCACTTGTATTTTTATTTTCTGTGCGACAGGGAGAGCAGTAGAGATCCTCTCACAAACGGACGGGCTAAAAGAAACTTCAAGCGGAGAACCTTCAACCATTCATCCAGATGCACCCCATGGTAGTGGCAGTGCCCCTTCTGGTAAGTGTACCAGGTGGGGATTACAGCCAGGCTGCTTGGTCCTAACCCTGGGAGTGTATATTGCTAATATATTTTTTATTTCTCTCCCTAGAACGTGTAAGAAAGCCATGGTCTGCATCTGAGGTGAAGGCTGTGGAGAAGACCATGACACCTTTCATACAGACTGGAAAAGTCCCTGGGAAGTCTCACTGCCTGGCCTGCATTAATGCCTCACCAGATGACCTTAGACATCGGACATGGAGTGGCATTAAATTCTATGTCAAAAATAGAATCACTGCAATTCGAAAAAAAAATCTAAAATAAAATTCCTTTAAAAGAGTTGTTTGTTTTCTATTGACTGTTTTGTATTACTTAAAGTAGTCCCAGTAAAAAAAGATTATGTCTATGGGTCCCATTCTGAACGGCCCTGTCAAAGGGACCCACCAGGTAACAAAAACGTGTGTGTGTGTGTGTGTGTGTGTGTGTGTGTATGAGTATGCTGGAGACTTTTAGGGTGTATTCAGACCTGCACATTTGCTCCACTTTAAACGAACCAGGATTCGTTTGGAACTCTGATCCGAATCTTTTATGCAGGTCTGAATACACACAAACGAATCCTGGTCCGGACCAAAGAACCGAACCGAGACCCACTTTTTGAGGTGGTCTCGGTCCGCTTCCAAACGAATTCTGGTCCAAGTCGAATCAGGTCTGAATACATCCGGTGTCGATCCGACACAACTCCAAGATACGTGCGCATTTTTTGGGCTTAACAAGCCGCAGACACAAACTGTGAATTAGCCACGCAGCTGCTAACTATGCTGCTAACTATGCTGCTAACTATGCTGCTAACGCTACACAACAACAATGAGCCGTGTGCAGACCTGGAGCAGTGAGGAGACGCTGTGCAACAAACTTATGGAGTTAAAACTGTTCACAGTATACATTGATGTTAATGGCAGCATCTTCAAACCATTTGCATTATTAAAAGCCTGACACTGTTTGACTCACGTCTCAAAGAGCAATATTCCGCATCATGTAGTGAATTGTGTTCTTTGGTTCCTACCTGATCCTCAGCGTCTGTTTGTCCCGTGGTTATTATAGATCCATGGTTTATCCACGATGCTGCTGTCAGTAAGTTGTGGAACAGGGTTATTATCATAGATCCATGTGTGGGACAGGACACGGAGCGCACAGAGTCTCCTTCGGCTTTCTCCTCACGCATTCTCCGACGCTGTTCCAATATTTAAAACAACGTGTTTCGCCTGCGTCATATGAGCTGCTGTTGAAGGTGCTTTTGCTCTAAAAAGAGCAAACATGGGCAGAGCAGACATGCTGCACATACGAGCCCTCAATGTTTTCTGCCGGTTCCGCGTCTATCCTCTGTGAGCTCTCACTGTCCAATAGGAGTGCCGATCGTCACACGTGTCAATATGTTTATATAAAAAAGTTCACTTGCAAAAAGGACAGTCTGAATACGAACCGGAGCAAAAGAAAAAAGTTTGGTCCGCTTTTGATTCGGATCAAGCAAGCGGAGCAAAGGACTTTTCAGGTCTGAATACACCCTTAAAGACCGCCAATTGGAGTCTATTTTTTTCTGTTATGTGTTGTGCTGCAAATTAGCTTTAGTTATTAATCACCATTAGATAAATCTGTATTTGTCCCTCAGTGGGGAAACTTCAAAATCATAGTTACGCACTTTACTGCAGAATAGAAGAAGGAGGAATAAGCTCCACACATCAAACAGGATCTAGTATTTAAGATAATACATAATACAATATGATACATGCATCAGACAGTTGCAATGTTTTCTCTATTAGTCTTGACTCAAAAAAAAGGAAAAGAAAAATAACATCAGGGTTGACCTTTTACATGCTTTCATATCTCCACCAAACTAAGCTCTCATTGTCTGTGTAATGACAATACATTCATTCTGGTAATTTGAAAGTGGACAGTAAGCCATAGTATAATCATCAAAAATATTGTAAAAAAGGCTTGGTATGTAATGTGTCTCTAACATCTATTGGTTTCAAATTGTAAGCTAAGTTACACACATTCATGAACTTTTAAAACATTATGCTAATGTTGTGAGTTTCCCCTGTAGTTATGCTACAGGCGTATTTGTGTATTCGTACTGTTGTGTGTGTTATCTCTCTTAAGTTCATACCAAGTTCACCCTACAGTCCACAGAGTCTCACTGTTTCACATGGTTATACTGCTGCTTATGGACGGAATATGTTTGAAATGGTTAAAACTAGGGCTGTCAAAATTATCGCGTTAACTCACGTTAATTTTTTTTTAACGCGTTAATGAAAAATGTAATTAACGCATTAACGCACGTCCGAATGACCCGCCCATTTATCCATTATCACTCAGAATTCTGCGTGTGAGATGGCATCAGAGCAGGTAGGCCCTCTGGGGATTCATGTTTTAAAAGAATACGCGCGCCACCGCGGGGCTGTTGTTTGCTGTGAACTGAAGTCCGCCTCCTCCGCGGCCGCTCTGACTGTGAGCCGCTCACAACAACACGGCTGTGAGCGGCTGTGAGTGAGTGGCGCCGCGGTAACATGGTCAAATAAGACCAAACACGCCACAGAACTATTGTCTGCATGTTGTGTTCGTGTCTTTGCAACCTGTGCGTAACCTGTGCGCGCAAATACAGCGCAGGAGTGTCCCTGTCTCCTCCTGAAACTAAACTAAACTGAAACGCTGAATTAAAGCTGGGGTATGTAAATTTCCCCCTTTCATTAACAGCTCATGTTGGTTTTGTCCAAAAGCAAACAATGTGTCATTATATTTGATAATCTCATTTAACTTCAATTGGAGTGGATTTGAAATAGAAAGTTAAAAATGCGATTAATCGTGAGTTAACTCACCATTTCTGTGCGATTAATCAACTAAAAAAATTTAATCGTTTGACAGCCCTAGTTAAAACATGTTCAAACAAAACAACACTGTGGAGGCTGACACTGATACTTCTCATATTCATCACACAGGCCTCAGTTTACATTCTACATTTTATCTAATATGTCCAATTATGATATGCCAAATATACTGTATGTAGCCTACAGCAAGCTTGGTATAAATCAAAGTAATAAAATTTAAACATGAATTTGTGATGTTCTGTCCATATGGTTTTGTGGTTTTGCTTGTGTGCTGCTGTCCACCATTGAGTGTTCACCGTGGTTAAACACTAAAATAATAAATCTAAATCTGCAACAATAATGCCCCAGCAAGGTCCAGCGTCCCAAAACCCAGGCTAGTCCCAGACGCAAGAAGCAACGACCACAACAGTAGAGCAACCCTGCAGAGGACTGACTGTGTGACTGACTCATTTTGTTTGTTTGTTTACAATGCACTTTGTGAACTGAAAAGCAGGATTTATTAAATTACAAGAAACAGCAATTTACTTACGCTTTAAATGCATATTTTCAGTAAAAGTGCACAGAACAAGGTGCATTGCGCTCCTCATAAATACTCTGAACCCGGTGTACGTTCATTCATCAACCAGTGTTTTCAGCGAGGTTGCACAGCTTTATGGGAGAATAAATGCAGTAACCCGACCTCATATTGATATGCCCAATCAATAGTGGATTAAGTGCTGTCATTGGAAAACCCAAGGATTATAGCTCTGAATGAAGAGGCAGCTGCACCACAGAAGTAACTCGTTTGCAGTTTTAGTTCCAGTGTAAAAAGGTTTCCTGAGGGTACTATGAAAGACATGAATAGTCACAGTATCTTTGATCTGTGTACAGGTGACGCGGCGTACTGCACTCCGGAGCAGTACAAGGACTGTGCCGAACCAGCTCTCGGTGAGTGCTCCTCTTGTTTTCATGTCTCGCTTTCACTCAAATTAGGATGATGTATTTCTCTCAGTATAAAGCTCACCATGGTATAGGTACATCTCTAATCTTCACATCCATTACCGGAGTTCGATTTTTCTTGTAAAGACAGAAAAGTGCAAGTAGAGTTATCCACTCTTGCTTTACTAATCAGTTTCATCTACTGTAGTGTTTCCCAACTGGGGGTACGCGGAGGGATTACTTCAGGGATTACTTCATTCACTCATTAATCATTGTCAAAACTTGTAAGCATTGATAGTAAGTAAGTAAGTTATACCTAATTTTAAAAGTAATTCTCTCAAGAAAACAACCATATCATTTATTCTATTCTAAACCTTGAACCTAAAAATAGTAATAATTGAAAGAACATTTTGAAAATCAAATGTATTATTGAAGGAAAATGCATCTCACAATATGGATCGCACATTTGAACGTGGATGGCGTGACCATAGAATGATAGAACCGGGAGGATGGCAGTTTTGCTGTGTAAGCAGTAACCGGTAACAAAGACACGGGAAGTTTCAGGTTAGCCTCCGCCGCTTGTTTACCTCAGCTGTCTGTGCTAACGAGAGACCTGTAGCTTTTCTCAAGAAAGTGGGGGCCAGTGGTCCGCTGTGATTGGTCACAATCTGGTCCTGAAACACATTCTCTTCCTTGTTGCACAAAAACTCGATCTAAAATAAAATGACATGCCAGCACAAATCTGCGCTTCTCATTCTTCAAAAGGACGTGTATCCCAATGCACTACATGGATATGGATTGAATTTTTGTAATGAATACAAAAATAAAGTGAGATAATGCAGCTTTAAATAGCATCCTTTCTTTTGTATTTCAAAATTACAAAAGCAGGTTACAATTTCTATGGCTGTTAGGTGTACTCATTGGTGTCCCGATGAGTACAAATCGGTGGATTTTATTCTCAACACGACTCAAGGTCTAAAAATGTACAAAGCCAATGCTCCTGATACAAGGCTACAGCACAAAGAATAATTGAATAACAGCATGTTGTATTTCCTACACCTCTTTTCATGTCAACACCATCAGCCGCATACTTGTGTGACAATCCTGCAAGAATAGAACAGTATTTGGAATTTAGTTTTATGATCTCTGCAAGGACAGCACAGCACACTGTACAAGCTTCAAAAGCAAAGAATGGAAATGAAAATACCAATGTGACTGTAAACTATAGTATAAGACAGGTGCAGGGACCAGTCTGCAGCTGGGGTGAACTCTACCAGATGGAGATCAGCTAAACTAATAGTTTGGTCAACTACATCAGTAACAACGATGTTCATTTTTTTGACGGCACAAAAGTAGTCACGTGCATTTTATTTGTTACATCGAATTTTTAGTTGTGTAACCCAGCTTTAAAGAAGACTTATTTTTATTTTTATTATGACAGTATTGACTTTGCCCTATCATTTTTTAGAAAGACAATTATATCTTATGTTACTATGTTACTATCAAAGAGAGGAGTTGAATTTGTTCATTTCTGTTTCCAAACTATTGGCTGCTATCTATCCATCCATTTGCATCCTCCGGGGATTAGCTATCTGAGCTGCCGACCTGTTCAGCACCATCTTGATGCAGATGTAGGTCCACAGATCTTTCAGCGGGGACTTCAGGAAACGTTGGGTTGAGTGTCTTGCTTAGGGACACAACGACAGCCGATGTTAGCGGGAGTAAGTGGAGTAGATCTCATGAGGGGATGAAACACTCTCGCCCAAATACATCTATTCATTTACAAATGATCTCTCTTCACTTGAGAAAATGTCCAATCTATTATTAACAAGTTGCTCTTTTATTATGCAAGATCTGACACATTAAAAAGTATATCTCACTTATAGTACATGCTGAGATGAAGCGCTGTCCCCCACCTTCCAGATTCAAACTTAGAATTTTAATTTTGCATTCCAAAAAACTCTAATCTGCAGTTTATCAATTATGAATATGTTTTTGTAATCTAGGATTCTGCAAACGTTTCAATCAGGGTCACCTACAATATTATTTTTTTTGCTTGGCCTCGGACCAAAATGAGTTTGACTCCCCTGCCAAACAGTATTGCCAGACAGTAAGTGCATGCCAGACCTATTGTATATTTATTTTAACTGGTAGTGGAAATTGGAGCACCTGGAGGAAACCTATGTAGACACAGAGAGGACACGTAAACTTCGCCCAAAAAGCCTGAAGATAAAATTGAATCCAGGACCTTCTAACTGTGAACAAACGGCAGTCTTGATTGGATAACCCCACGCAGCCATCTCCTGCACATGTCCTCAGCTTCAGGTCACTGCTCTTACATCTGTGAAGTGCAATGTCGTGTGTAGATCATTTATTAAAAGCAAAGCAGCAGATCTGAGTCATTTTCCCAGAGCAAAGACCTCATCAGGTATGGAACCAGCACGCACACAGCGTTGGGCTTCAATTTTCCGGATGGATGGGCAGACAGATAATAGGCCTGTATTCTCTGCTTGGAGTGAATTAAACACCGTGTAACAGGTTTGAGGAAGATTCAAATCACATTTCTACCAAGAGTTGTTTGTATCAGCTTAACTTTGCAGTATTGGATTTAGAGTCTGGATTTGTAGAGGAGATCTACACGTTCTTTCTGTAGGCAATTAAAGATTCACGATTAAAGTGAGTACAAAGTTGGAAGTTATTTATATGTTTTCATAAGTTTCATCTTCTGCACGTTAGGGATGGGCATCGATTTTCGAATATTCGAATAGTCGTTAAATCATAAAAAATCGAATAGTGTACCATATCGTGAGGGGGGAAAAAATGGTATTACTGGCGGCTTCCGCACGGGGGCAGCGTACCATTTGACGATACACAGTGGCGGGCTACATGCAGATCGATCCCATGGACCGGTGGAAAACTAACGAAAACAAATATCCTCAGCTGGCAAAATTAGCGAGTGCATACTTGTGTGTGCCCGCCACATCTGTGCCGTCGGAAAGGGTGTTTTCCACGGCGGGACTTATTGTAAACAGACTTCGTTCCCGTCTTCATCCCGTGCATGTGGACATGCTGATCTTTCTGAATAAAAACTTGGATTAGGCTTGAACTATTTTTCGGATTATGAGGACAAGCATGTTTAAAAATGTTCACGTCAGCAATGCTGTCTCTCAGGTATGTTTAGTAAAATGTTCAACATTTATATAATTATTGTTTGAAGTCTCCGCACTTTGTTAATTGTTTGACCTGACGACGGTATTATTGGGTGATTTATGAAGGAAAACCCGGTCCGCACACGCACCTTTTGTATTGTATATAATATCCTGTTTGTTTAATGGGATTAAAGACAGAAAACGGTTCTATAATGTTGTGCTGTGAATTGCATCCACTGTCAAAATAAAAAAGAAAGAGAAAAATCGTGGATCTATATCTGTTTCCGCAGCGGTGGGTGTTGGGGGCAGTCTGGCGGCAGTTATTGTCGAATATTCGAATATTAATGATTAGTACCCCACGATTATCGAATAGTACTTTTGCTTTAAATGCACATCCCTACTGCACGTAGGAAACAGAATTTTTCACAAAGTGCTTTACAGAGTGCAGTGAGACATCGGAACAAATAATAACACAAGAAAAAAAGCCTGTTGGTGAACCTGAACATATATATAGCTGCATTTTAAAAGAATGAACCCCATCTATGTTCTTCCGCTTTAACCCTTGCCAGGTCGAAGGGGCAGTGGTCTAAGAACCCAGACTCCACACAAACTTTCTCCAGCTGACAGACATAATCCCTCCAGCATCAAAGCACTCTTAATGCCTAAACCAACTTTTTTTTCAGACAAATCCTATCCTTTTAATAAAACATTCAAAGATATTGCTTGAATTTAGGACTAAAGCTCTGGCTCAAATTTTTTATATGACAGCTATGCTTTTAATAGAAACAAATTACAGAGAAAATCAAGGATCCTCCAGCCAGGTATCAACCAGGCCCACAGCAGCTTAGCCTCACCTATAGTCTGAGGCTATACACAAGCAAGTATAGCCTTAAACTAAACACATGACAATCCAATGCTTGTTTATAAATACATGTAAATTAATCAACATCGTCACTACAATAGGGTCTGTGATTCTCGCTTTAGATTGAATTATCATCCGCCAACCAACACTAAGAGGCTTGAAGACAGAAACTAATCATTGGCATGCATCAGACTGTGCTCCTGTGTATTCAGTGCCCCCTCATTTGAATAAAAATAAGAGAGCACTGAAGGTCCATATTGGATTTCATGTCTCAATTACGTGACAGTTTGGCCCATTTGGCTATTACAGCACTGCAGGGAGATAGCCAACTAATTCTTTGAGCCTGCAATATGGTGAGAGTGAAGTCTGCCTCTGCAATGACTTAACTAGTGTTTTACTTTGCATTTTCCACACCAAATGGAAGTGGTATTGGTGGTATAGTAGCAGCAGCAGCAGCAGTAGCAGTCAAGGACGTCTTTTTATTATTTTAGTTATTGTTTTTCACTATTGTTGTCCTATGCTTTTCATGTATTTTTGGTGCGGCTCATTTTTGGAGTTAAAATAGATGAAATCCTGGTTTTTCTATTCAAAGAGACGAAGTGAAACAGTGCTCATACTGTACGTGCCTCAGGTCATTTCTGTTTGTTTCTAATGTCCTGCTTTGAAAACATCTGTTAAACTTCTCTTAGTGTTTAATAATGTATTGTACGTATGCATTTATTTATATTTAGTTTAAGTCTTTTGATCAAAGAGAAATACACAAGGAGGAAGATTGCCTTGAGGCAGGCAGTACCTGTGCCTCACCGATGGGGGGCGAGCATGAGTTGCTAACAAATAATTGGCCCATTATGCTATTTCTTGGAAAATGGAGGTTAGTTTCAAATAGTCGGAGAAGCTTGCGATTTTGGTGTTTGTAGATCTCAGTGTTTTATGTTGAACATTTACCAGATTCTTGAACGTTTCTTATGTCCGGTTTGCGATCTGTCACAGATCGCAAAACAGTGCTTCCCAAAAAACACAAATTTTGACACTGCTCAAGAGTTCTGCAACTTGTTTGAGGGCTTGTTTTTATCTTCCTTAGTCTCTCCCACCTGTGCGTCTCAAAGTTGATACAGAGCGGAGAGTCAGCAGCTGGATTTGTTGTGGGATTATTAAAAGATGCTGTTAGTGGACATTTGCGAATTCTTGCTATTTTATTAGAAAAACAATTGTAAAGAGGGCTGGTACTAATTCTACGGACAAAGCTGATGACAGAGGTCAAAAATACATACATTTACGAACAAGTGATAGAACCAAACAGTTTTGAGACTGGGAGGTTGGATGAGTGTGATTACATGGTTCAACTTTCATTTAAATTCATTTTGTAGAGCCCTAAACCGCACCAGTAATAATCTCTGAGAACTTTATTAAGCCATCGATTCGCCAACACAGATCAGAATCAAACAGTTCAAACACAGGAAATGGTCCATAAGGGTTCATAAGGGTCCATAAATGTCTGCCAAAGTGTCCTGGATCATCACTAGGACACACACCATGGTTAATTTTTTGTGGTTTCAAAGTTTGGTACTCCAGCTTTAATGTACTAAACTTCAATCAATTAAGCATAACATTGCTGTAGCAGTTTTCAAATGACCACAGTGCGATGGGAGCATATGGCAGCAGTGCAGGATGAGTGCCGGCAGTAACGGGACTTGCTGAACTGGCTTGTCCTCTGATAACATTACTGCCTTTTTCCCCTTTTCTTCATAGCCAAAATGGTGGAACTTACACATGAAAATGACAATCACGCCGTGCTATAGCAGAAGGAAATATCTCTTCCAAAATGTCTGAGCGATGGAGTGTCTTTGATGAGGCTTGTTTTGAAAAGTGGCCTATTACAGAGAGAGAAGATGGCTCTCCTCAAAAGAGTGGTATTCTCTTGGTGGTATTATGGCCCCTGATCAGACCCAGTCATTTCCATCTCTGTCCGATATCTAATGAGCTGTTTGAATGTGTGTCTTAATGATGGGAAATTCACTTCATTCATTTTGAAATTCTAAATAATTCTATAGAAGTTATAGCTGTTTCTCAACTCGGACTGAAGTCTTGTGGCTTGTGTGCCTTTTTTTGTTTTTTTACATTGTGCTTCAAATAAAGGCAACTGTATAATTAGGGTAGCCTGGCCTTAGACATCCATAAACTCCGGTCAATTATCATTTTCCTACAAGTACGTCGCGGCCTGATCTTGGTGGCCTTAGTTACCTTGGTTGAATCCCCTCCGACCATTCAGCGAGAGGGGAGGTGTGGATGTTGTAGGAAGGTGTCGGTGACGTCCAGAGTTTGCTCCGACTTTGCTGGTTGTTGTTAGGCAATGGCGACGAATGCAAAAGTAAAGGAAGCTCTTTAATCTGTTCTAATTCGGCTCCAAATATCAAGAAATTGAACCTGCAGCAAGAGGAATGTTTGGCATATGTAATTTCTGCAAAGACATTGTGGCTCTACTCCCCACAGGCTCTGTTAGTGGCAAAGGAGATGGCTATAGCTAGGCTAAACTCACTCATTACATACGTAGCGACCAGATACACAGTATGTAAACTCAGGTCCAACTATTATTTGAGTGGGAGTTAACCCCTCCCACCTGTTAATGAAGCTCAATAGAGCAAATCTAGACCAAAGTACGGAACGAAATGAGTCCGGTGGTTTGGTAAGACCAGGCTATAATTGGCGTAAATATATTAAACGTTTGTGATTCGCATGGCGCCGTAAAGATGGCGCCGTGGCAAGAGCTCTGGTGTGTGTCGTCTGGTGCACACTGGGGTAGTCTTGCACAGTTTTTCCAATGTGGTTTTACTGCAAATGGCAAATAAATGAATCTGAATCTGATTAGTTCAGAGCGGGCTTCCTGTCATCCTCAGTTCTGCTCCTGTCCCTCAGCACTGTGTCCTTTACAGCTGTATTTTACAATGTATGCACGAATTTTGACAGCTACAGCAGCGCTCAGGTGGCGGTTGTGGTGGTGATGTTAGTAGGGATGGTAGTAGTATTAGTAGTAACATAAGTATTGTGGTGAGGGGTCTTACAGCCTTAAAACATCTAGTTGCTACTTTGCATATTTTGCTTATGGAAAGTTATTTTTAGACCGTAACCCCGGCGATCAAGAAGGGACCAACCATTGTATATCGACTTGCTCCTGTTCAAAGACAAAAGTGAACACAATATTTTGGCAAACTGATGACTTACTTGTTGACCTGCACCCATCAACCACCCCATCCATCCATTTTCTACCCTTTAATCCATTTCTGGGTCAGGGGGGTGGCAATCAGAGATGCCACCCAAGTCTCATAGCACCAGCCCCTCACTGACCCTCTGCAGGTGGTGAGTCCACAGGAGGACAGCTGCTTTTCAGTGGGGGCTTTGGGCAAAGTGGGGTTAAGTGTCTTGCCCAAGGACACAACGACAGCAGACATCAGTGGGAGTCGATGGAGAAGGTGCAGAGGTGGGAATTGAACCCACGACCTTCTGGCCTTAAGGCCAATGCTCTACCAACTGAGCTACTGTCGCCCATCAACCACCCCAGTTCTCCCTTTTGTCACATTGCCACTACTTGCGTCTTGTACATTTCTCTCATTCGTTCTCATGTTTTTTCCTTTTCTCCTTTTGTTTTGCCTGAAGCCAAACTGTCGGCGGTGGAGGGCAGCAGCTGTATGTGCCGCGCTCCCTGTAACATGACCCGCTACAACAAGGAGCTGTCCATGGTCAAGATCCCCAGCAAAACCTCTGCACGTTACCTTCAGAAGAGGTACAACAAGTCGGAGAAGTACATCAGGTAAGTCCTGTAAAAACACACGTTTAAACAATATTATTAAAGTGCGGATTTTTACTATGTTGAACTTTTTGTTTTGTTAATGTATCCGTTGCAAAAGTTCAAGCTGTATTAATACTTTTGAAAGGCACTGTATGCGTTTTTTCCGAGTTTTTGTCTATTCTCACGTATCCCACGTCTTTTTCCTGACTTTTATATGTTTATGTTACCCTGGATTCAGTTTTCTTTCGTTGAATTACAGTATACTTCTATTTGCACTTCTACATTGTTGGTTCAATTTCACCTCATGACAAATATACAAGTACAAACATATGATGGTGGAAGAAGGAACACAGAAAAAGGATTGGCTCCACTTACTTTGTCGGGATATAAAGAAACCGACGATCCTGGAGTGTAGGAGGGAGTCGTTAGCGGAGCAGGTTTTAAAGATGTCTGATGTACAGTATATTCTAATCATACCAAACACTGGGTCTGATGAGCCTTAATATTTCCTAGAAACATACCACTATTTCAACATGTTTGTGTAGCATAAATATTACCCATTATTGTCATATCATAAAGTCACTGATTCAATAACAACTGGGAGAAAAATTAATTAAACTTATTAAAGTCATTGTCTGTCTGGAAAACAGTGTTGTATTGTTTTAACAGCTCTCTGAACCAGATTTTTGTAAATGTTTTATTAAGCCATTAACGTTCCTTGTTATATACAGTATATACTGACATCTTGAAAGTCTATTTGCATGTATCATTTTCTCAATCTACCTATTATTCTATTATTTATTATTATATTTGATGCTGTGGGAAAAGCTTAATTGAGTCCCATGAAAATCCCAATATAAAACCAATAAATTAGGATTATTATTATTATTATTATTAAGGTATTACCCTGTCATTATGTCCGACAGTCGTCACATGCTCCAGCCTGTGTAGTAAAAATGTCAGATTTGTGTTACCGAAGCCTTGTTGTTTCAGATGGTCCTCCCACACACGGCTGTGACAGACTGTTGCTTTTTTTTTTTTTTCACTGTCTGCCAACAGTGAACAGTGAACAGTGAGATGTCATCTTTTCCCTTTTTGCAGCGACAACATTCTGGTGTTGGACGTGTTCTTTGAGGCTCTAAACTACGAGACCATCGAGCAGAAGAAAGCCTACGAGGTGGCAGGTCTTCTGGGTATGTTTACTTTGCTGTCTCATTCCGCTGGCAGCTCATTTTTATTGGAAATGACTTTTGCACTCAAGGGAGCACTGAGTAACTTTGCTCTTGGAGGTCGGCCACCTGCACCTCGGAGATGCCATGGCTTTGATCGCTGCACATTTAGCACACATGTTTATCAATGCGAGTGAGAAAGAAAATGTTTTTGACAAGTATGGACACCCAATTTTGCCTGCACGGTAGAAGCAGAGTGGCCACATTCACAGGGAGATTTCTGGCACCACTGACCCACAAAATATTAGCCCTGTGCTTGGAAAATGATTACTTTTCGAAGCACAATTGGAGATTTTATGAAATATAAAAAGCCGAGGCGTATAAGCAGTACATGAAATGCTGTGTTCATCTTAAAAACTGAAGGTTTATTTAGATCTTGCTGCTTCATGATTATTTTATTTATTGGTTTTTCTATATTTGCTTTATATTTATGCATTACTGTCTCAGGAGTTAAATAAATTGACTTAATGAATAGCCACAATGGACAATAGATAATATTTCATAAGCACCAAATCCTTGCCTCCTCTTCCTACATTATTTAAGCATTAAATGTGGGACAATGCAGGGTTACTCAAAAAATACATCCAAATGTAACTTGGAGAAACAAGAAACACTGCTTACTAAAATTACATTTATACAAATTAGAAACACAAAATATATAGATGTATTATCCGTTCATTTAAATACATCAAAATGTATAATGGTAAAGTGTAGGAAACGGTGAGAAGAGTTTTATGTCAAAAATCCACTGCATTTATGTGTTTTAGCAAGCCACTCTTGACGTGACCAGAGTTTTTCTTGAAAAGTCATGCAGTGTATGCTTCTTCAGTTTACAGCCCGTTCATAATAGACAGTTTTATTTTGAAAAGTCATCAGGAAGTGTTGGTGATTATCTGACATTGCATCCGCTGCCTCCTGCTGACAACTTAAAGGTTTTGCACGTGGATCCGAAGTAAGACGCAACTACAAAGAGATGGAAAGACCAAAGTGAAACATGCGGTCCAGGGTAGGGCTGGGCTGAGGGTTAGGGCCACAGGGAAGGGCCTCTGTCTGCACTCAGGGCTGTCTGTCCAGTGACGGATTCACTCCTTCTCAATCGACTTCGTACGCTGGCGGCACACTGGGAAAAATCCTCTCTCTCCCTGCCCTTGTTTCTGTCCACTCACAAAGTTTTCACACCAGCTCTTCACAGCCTTTATGGCAGGGATGGAGTCTAGTGTGCGTCTTATCCCCATCGCTGTCAGACTGTCCAATAAGTCACTCTAAGTCACTAATGCACTAGGACTGAAAAAACAGCACTGCTATTGCCACTCTTTTTTTAATGTACATAATTATATCCTGCACAGACTATATTTTAACCTTGAACATGTTTGCACACTTCTGTCTTGTGCACAATCTGAGTAATTCTATCTATGCCAAACGTGACAAGTAAATTGCTCCAGTGTGAGATCAATAAAGTCTGTCTTATCTTAATCTTATCTTCTTCTCAGCTCTGACACCCCCGTTCTATGGCATGGCTAATGTGCACCATGAGATCTGAATCACTGACTGCTGTGCATCAGTAGAGCCCTGGGTCTCTTGATGTCTGCCCATTCAAAACAATGGCCTGTGCTCGTTGGTGCTTGTTCCCATCATGGACATCCCAAACACTCGTAGAAGATTAGATAAGATAGACTTTATTGATCTCACAATGGAGAAATGTACATGTCACCATAGGTATAAACAGTATCACTCAGGTTGTGCAAAAGAGTGATATTATGGACAATAGAATTTAAAAAGACTATAGCAGTCTTTTCAGCTCAGTGGTTCTCCCGGTTTGGCGCAGTAGGTACATAGTGGTTCTACTTTTGCAAGACCAGAGTGACAGGTGAGCGTTCAGACGGATAAGCATGAGGGGGGGATTTGGTCAAAACAGCCCATGTGCTAACCCACGCTATCCCTTTAGGCCTGTTAACATAGATCTCATCTGGAAACCTTTTAAAACCCACTATAATTGAACGGATATGTAAAGGTTCCAAAAGCTTTTTAAAGAAACAGAATGTTGAAATGCTACTTCAGCTATTTCTGAGAAAATGCTGTTCTGTGAAAGTGAACTCGGTACAAAGAGTCTTGAGAGTACTGTCCATCTGTTTATGGTCTGGCATATGCACAGAGATCTGGAGCGAGCAGACACATCATGCCTTTTGAGAATACACCATTTATCATTGGCTTAATCTGCCGGAGTCCAGTGCTGCTGCCGAGGTGTGTCCGAGGTACAGAGCCACTGATAAAGCGCACGGAGCCTTTGTAAGGAGGAGTTTGCATGCAGCATAAAAAACAGCACATGAAAAAAAAACTGAGTTATCGGATTTTCTAAAACATAAAAGGGCTGAACAGAAAAAGCCAATTTCATGTTTGCCGCCCACTCTCCCTGTTGTGACAAAGAAAAGAAAATGCTGGATGTTTGGTTTGGTGGAGAGGCGAGGGGAGGGGGGAGTGGTTTCGAGTTGGTGCTACGGCTAAGCTAACAAGATCGCTTACTGCACCTTTAAGTTATTATAGATGTATATATATATTTGATTAAGATGAATGCCTTTTTGTGTATTAAGATACTATTAAGATAAGGCAGGGGTCTGAACAATTGAGTCTTTAGTTTACTATTGAATGCACGGGGGAACAGCAGGAAGTTGAGGTCCGAGGAATATGAGACAAAATATATGAGGGCTCGAGACGCCAGGGCTTTATATGCAAGGATAAGGATTATAAAGTCAACCCCAGCCTTAAAAAAACAGGTGTAATATGGGATATTTTTATACTCTGTGTTAACACACAATCTTTTAGATAAGTTACAGATGCTAGACTGATCTACAACGGTTTTGCTTTTTCAAGTTTATACTTTTTTTCTGAATTTGCTATATTATTCGCGACTCGAGCATTGCCTGGAAAAGGAAGGAAATTGCTTCTGTAACTTTTTATGTCACACTCTCATGATATAGCCTTTACTATATAACTCCTATAACACCTTGAGAGGTATATTATTAACTACTGAATAGCCTTGGGAGAATCCACAGCTCGTTTCTTTCTTGCACCGAGCCTTGAAAGTTACAAAAAGCAACATTTGTGGAGGTCTCTGTGTCCAGCTGAGCCTGTTTTGTTCCCGCTCCACTCTGCTGTGGAGAGACAATGCCCAGTGGGAGAGTGGTAGTATTGAGCCGGCCCTGGAGTCAGCGGTCAGTAATGACGAACATAAATCATGGATTTTCAGCCCTCAGTCCAGAGTGTGGGTCAGATGTGGATAAGGCGCAGGAGATTTCAACTCCATGAAGTGTGGCCTTACATGAAGTAGAACGTTATCATTGATGCTTCAAAGGCGTTTGTTTTTGTAAACCAAGTTATTTCTAAATGTCTGATTAGAATCTTAGTATTTAGGTATGCCCCACAAAGGGCCGCTCTGTCTCCACTCATTTTAGGGTTTCAAAATTGTGAGGCACTATATTGTCTCCTTGTTTATCCAATGTGTATCTGCACGATCTGTCAATGTGTTTGAATCAGTGTGGAACGGGAAGTATTGGCTCCAAAATCATTAACTAATGTACAGTATGTAGATGATTTGGTTATTCTCTGTCCTTACACTGCATGATCACAATAGCTTCTGCTTGCTACTGTTTGCACTCATTATGAATTTAAATGTGAAATCAAATATAATACTAGCACGTGTAACACTTTGTCTGGAGCATGGAGGAAAGTGTCCGATCAGATAACCTACTGAGTATAACAGAGGAATACAAATTTCTGGGACACTACATCTGAGCTGACTTGTCTGATCACAGAAACATTTACAGCCTGTGCCCGATGTTTTATGGACAAGCCAGAATGCTGATGCGGAGGTTTTGGAGTGTTGAAACAAACTGTTGGCCCTTTATACTGCCCACTTATGGGGCAGTATGCACAGACTGAATGTGGGCCACGCTTGGTGTCTTTGACTTTTTCATATGTATGTATATGTATATGTATGTATTGACTTTTTTCAATTGTATGTATATGAACTATCGTGTTTGCAATAAAGTCTAATAAAATAATAAATAAATTATCTGATAAAGCCACTGCCGACACTGTATGGGGGCGTGAAATATAGAATAATATCATATACTTAATAATACACTGTAATAATCAGTGTTGGGGTGTCACGAAATACATGGAATACAAAAGTGATGTTCCCTGTGTCTGTGTAGGTTTCCTCCGCGTGCTCCGGTTTCCGCTACCACTAAAATATTCAGTTCATGGTGAATGTGTGTGTGTTTGGTGGGACTATAAATGGAAACAGCCAATCTGCTGTTCATTAATACACACTGTCCCAGGCACATACATGAAAACTCTAAAATCCATAAAAAAAATCAAATAGAAAGCAAAAAAACACTGAGGACCAAATGTTGACTGTTAAAAGCTCTTGGACTCACTTTTCCAGAGACCACCACTCGATCAGTCTGATAGATCTGGACATAAATACCTTTGCACATGTTTCCTTAAACATATTCTGTTCAAATGTATGAAATTTATTAGTTATTAACACTTTTGTTTGATTCTGCAGGTGACATCGGTGGACAGATGGGTTTATTTATTGGAGCGAGTATCCTCACCATTCTGGAGCTGTTCGACTACGCTTACGAGGTAGAAATCATGTGTTTTTGTTTATTTCACACATAAATTACCTGCACTACTATTGACACTGTTTCTTTGATTGCCACTTTTTAATTGCCACATTTTATTGTATATAATATACCCTGCATTTAGCATGTTTGCACATTTTTTTCTTTTGCACAATCTTGAGCGTTTCTATCCATGCCAGATGTGGCATGTACATTTCTCCTGTGTGAGATCAATAAAGTCTATCTTATCTTATCTTACACTTACGCAAATGAAGCCTTTATTAGTCATAATGGTGATAATTGGTTTTCCAGCTGTAAAAACAAAACATCTCAGGAAATTAGAATATTTTAAAAATGGACTGTAAGCCATAATCATCAAAATTATAACAATCAGAGGTTTGGCATAAAATAAGATTGAAACATAATACAGCAGCTACATTGGCGCAAGATATGGAATTTTCTGTCACAATTAAGCACTCATTTCAGAATATACAAATAAATTATTCAAAAAGTTTTGAGGATTACATTGACGGTCACATAAATGGACACTGTGGGCCACATTTAGCCCACAGGCCTTAGTTTGGACGAGCCTGATGTAGAGCATTAAGACCTGAACATTTAAAGCCCAGTGAACTTTTCAAAGATAGTGCATCAGAGCCAAAGGCAGTTTCGCCCATGAGCACTTCTCAATTAAGCTTCACCAAGTTGCAGAGTTAGCACTGTTCATCTTAATTACACAATTTAAAAAAAGTTTTTGTTATAATTTTTTTCAAACTTTCGGATGAATCTCCCCTGTCATCAGTTCTGGAAATCTTCTCCACTCTCCTGTACATTTCAAAGTATATTCACACTTTTCGTGCCCAAACTGTGGCTTTATTGTCAAATACATTCTGATTCAGTTCTCTTTAACATGATCATTTATGAATCCAGTAATAATAAGTAATCCATTAATAAGTTAAATATGTTGAGCCAGGTCTTAACAGTTCAAATTAATTGGATTAACCGAACACAATCTACCTCCTCCTTTTCTCTATTTTTGCCCCTTAACCCTGCCCCTTAATCCCGCCCCTTAACCCCGCCCCTTAATCCCGCCCCTTAACCCAGTCCCTTAACCCCGCCCCTTTGTCGCAGCATCAAAGAGAGTGCACACATTTCCTCCCCAGACATATTTTTGTGTATATAAAAATGCTCACGCAAAAGAACGGTTGAATCCTCTACATATCCCAGGTTCAGAACAAAGAATTTTCTTTTCCGACAAGGCTGTTAAGAGTTTCCAAACATAGTCAGTGAAGCCCAAGGGGAGGAGCTCATGGCCAAGAGGACTGAGGGGAGAGCAATGGTGGCGTGCATACATCAGGATATAAGCAACTCAGGATATAAACAGCTAAAAACATTCTACAACATGGCCAAGAGCTGAGAAAAGCTGATTTTTTGGTTAAGCCTCCTTTAAAAAAACTAAACAAATGAAATTGAAATGTTATGATGTTGCAGGTGGTGAAGGAGCGACTGTTGGATTTACTGAGCAGGGAGGAAGAGGAGGAGAGCCACGCCGAAGAGGTGGTGAGTGTTTGGATTAGGGCTTTCTGATCGTGCATATCAAAAACACTGTCTTAATGCAAGCGCAGAGGACTTTGAAACCAGCACGGAAAAGCTTACCAGACACTAATACTTTTTCACTCACGCTCCGGTCTGAACGGCTTATTCACTTATTCAGTTCAAAAAGAAACAGGAATGAGACAAACAACTGGGAATGAATGGAGAAATGTGTTTAACTTGTGCACAGGGTTATCCGGAGCTAAGGCTGTTTATTCAAATTATTGATCTTGACTTAGATTTGGCACATGAGACTGGAATGAATACGAAATCACATAATCAGGGTGTCTTTGCAAATTTAGGATAATCACGGTTGCTTTTTGTGAGAAAAAGCTTTGCCTCAATATCAGGGGAATTATCAAGGTCTGCGTGAAAAATATAAAAACATTATTCAAATCACCAAAAGTGGAAGGATGGCTTGAAAAATCATGTTTCAAATTGTGAAAGTGAGGTATTTACTTGCAAAACGAGCCGTAATAACTGTATAACTGTAAATCACTGCACTTTACATCATAATAGTAATCACATTATGGAAGAAAATTGACTTTAAAGGTGTCACATTTTACTTTTCATTTTCCACAGACCATCCTTTGCACATGTGTGATCCTAATGTGGGTGGTACACCATACAACACTCAAAACTTGTCAAACTAAAGCCATTTTGTGCGTAGAGGTGATGTCACCTCATGGGAAACGCTTAGATCTGTGCTCCTCTGCCTGTGAGCCCGCCTCCTCTCGCCTCCACGGTGTCGTAGTTGCTAAGTTCTGAGGTAAACAAAAGCTGACTGTACAGCTTTTGCTGTCACAGTCAATTCACACCTGAGAATAATCTTTTTTCAAGAATGGCCTGGATCCAGAATCAGACCCATATTGTTACTTTACAGAAGTATACGGTGAGTTAGTTGCATTGTACTCACAGACTGTGGCTCCTGTTAGCATCTTATGTTGGAATAACGCCATGTTTCCAGATCCGCTTTTGAGGAGGTCCTGTTTCAAGGTAACGGTAGTTCTGTCTTTGCTGGTGTCACAATCACTCGCAAAACAATATCTGCGAGTTTTGACGCGGATTTCAGACTCGTGGATTTGAGGAAGATCATTGTGTACACAATTGATCCAGTCAATTGGTTTCAGTTTCAGTTTTGTTCATTTCAATTGCTTCATTCTCCGTCTCCGACCAAATACTCTGGTCACATATTTACACCAACATTTTCTCCAAGTTTACATGAAGCAAACACAAAAATCACAGACGTATTTACAGTCTATGGACCACATTCTGGACTCGGAGAGAGGCTGCATGGGCTGACCATAGACGGCCCTGATTCGCTGGTTCAGTTCCTACACAGTGAACAGTGCGACAGTGGCTCAGTTGGTAGAGCATTGGCCTTTGAGCCTGAAGGTTGTGGGTTCAAGCCCACCGTAAGACCTACTTCACAACTCCCACTGATGTCTGATGTCGTTGTGTCCTTGGGCAAGACACTTAACCCCACTTTGCCTGAGACCCCCGCTGAAAGATCTCAGCTCCTGTGGACTCACCACCTCCAGGAGGATCAGTGAGGGGCTGGTGCTGTGTGTACTGGGTGCAGCTTTGACTGCCACCCCCTCGACCCAGAAATGGATTAAGGGGATGAAAATAAGAGGCGGGCTGTTAATCAGCAACGGACAGAAATATGGGGCCAACAGTGGCTCAGCACCTTCTCCACAGACTCCCACTGATGTCTGCGGTCGTGTCAGGCTGGTGCTCTGTGAATTGGGTGCGCAAGGTAATGGTAAATATTACTCTCTGGGCAATAGCTGAGTTAAAAGTCATACCTGCTGTCCCATTTCTGAGGCATTTCCAGTCCAGCTCCTTGGAGGCGGGCTGTTGACGTCACAATTTGAAATGAGCCATTTCTGTGCCTCTTGAGAATGACAGAGAAAGATCGCTCTCTAACTAAAGCTTGAAGGAATCAATGAAAAAACTATATGGGCATGTGTATGAAGGCCAAATAGCACCGTAATCATGTTTAAAGCAGAGAAAAGTCAAAAAGCGTAATATGGGACCTTTGAAGAGGCACCAAGCAATTTCTAGTCGCAGAGGCTATTCTGCAATCCTGATACTAGGGGTGGGCGATATGGCCTAAAATTCATATTGCGGTATAATTTGGGACACAGACGGTAGACGGTATATATTGCGGTATAATTTGGTGTGTGAAGTTCAATATAGGTCTAGCAGGTTCTTGCATAAAATAGTCAAGATTGTTACTTATTTATATATTAGAATCTAATATATATATTTTTTGAGTTAGAAAATCAGTTGTGAGACGAATAAAGAGACAAATGTTATAACATACATTATTTATGTATGTTACAGTAAATTTTTAAAAAGAAAAACATATGCATTCATTTAAAATATAAAAAACTCACAAATGTTGAAATCAAAGTCTGTAGGAGTTAGACATGGTCATTATTTATAGTGTCTGAGAGTTTTGTGCAGGTACATGACTTCAGTAAAAGCTATTGTTTGTTTACAAAGCTGGTCTTGCCATTTGTTGACGCTCCCTAAGCGCTTTTCTCTGCGCTTGCAGTGAACTGGATGATTCAATGGATTTATCTGCATTAAAACAGCATATTGGATTTGAACAATTGATGTAAATGATTATTTTGGCACAATCAATTTTGTTCAACAAAGTAGCTTTTGTGAGATATTGACCGCGGAGGTCCGAATCTGACGCTAACTTTCCCAAACTTCAGCTGTGATGCTGCGGACACGGCACACGCATGGATCTATTTTGGCTCACGCTGGCGCTTCGAGCCTACGCCCCTTTGACACTGATTGGCCAAAAGGTAGACGCTTAAACTGTGATTACTGTGTGTGTATTTACCTCTGCTGGGGCCGCTGTGACAACAATACATAGACAGAAACACGGTGTTAATGCCATGCTGTTGTTTGTTGTTTCCAGTGGTGTCTGCTAGGCTAATGCTGCAGAATGCCGGTTTGTTTTGATGCTCTCTGCTGGCGTCAGAGCCTGATCGAATTTGATGACATAATGACCTATTGCAATATGCCGGTATAACAAAAATCTCTACCGTGGGCCAAATTTATATCGCATACCGCTTATACCGTTTATATCGCCCAGCCCTACCTGATACTTCAGCTGGTTTCATTTCACTTCTTGGAAACCGTCTGAAATACAGTTAATGATAGTAATAATTTGTTCCCTCCACAGTGGGGGCCTGGGAGGGTACCTTGTTGTTTAACGCATCGCTCCGTTTTGGTCGTGGCCGCCAAATATGTAGGACCAGGGCAACAACGTCTTTCAAACTCTACCAACGTCCTCTCTTTTCTGTCTTTGAATCCTCAACCTCTAACTTAAAAAGAGAGTGGACAAATTGAATCAGCAACGGACAGAAATATGGGGCCAATAGTGGCTCAGCACCTTCTCCACAGACTCCCACTGACGTCTGCGGTCGTGTCGGGATGGTGCTCTGTGAATTGGGTGCGCAAGGTAATGGTGAATATTACTCTTTGGGCAATAGCCGAGTTAAAGTCATATATGCTGTCCCATTTCTGAGGCATTTTCAGTCCAGCTCCTTCCATGTGACAGATCAATCTCTATACTAAAATTAAAATAAGGAAAAAGTTATGTCCATGTTGTACTCAGGTGCATTCCAAGAAAAGATCATCATCATCATCTCCATGGCGACAAAAGTTTAAACAGATTCAATATTTCAAAACGTTCAAGAAGTGTTTTCATACATGAATTTGAATGTGATTTTCTTACTCGACTGCGACAAATATTCACTGGTAAAAAACATTCTTTGTTCCATTTCCAACAATAAAGTTAAACTGTGTGATTCAAAAGCTGCCATCAAATGATTATCAAAGCATTTAACATTTGATTTTCCCTTTTATTATTATAATCAGAGAGCAATTAGTGTCAAACGGTATTTATTGACAAATTGTAAAACCATTTTATTATAAACAGTGATTCATGTGGAGCTAAATTTTTCCCTCATCTGATTTGACATAAATTGTGTTTTATGGTTTTTGTAGGGGTTCTAACCATAACAACATGTGCACTGTGTCTGTAGTTCATTATTGGAAAAAAAAAACATCTTCATACTGTATGTATTTGCAGCCATACATTCCACAGACATTGTTTTATTTATACCTGAATTCAATAAAGACTGAAAAAAATCCTCTCTGTTTTGGTTCCATAACTTGACTCTGTCTTCATCTCTTCAGAACCAGTCCCAAGATCCCACGACACATTTCCTCATATCCATCTTCCTCATTGTCATGTTTGACGTCTTTCACCAACTTCGCAGATTGTCATTTCCATACACCATTCATCTCACCATCCTGTTTGTGTAAGTCTCCTCTTGTAAAAATGCAAAAGTTAGTTTTCCATGTTAAGTCCAGTAATTCAAAATAGTGTTTCAATTAATCAAATGTATTTATAAAGCAATTTTCAAACAGATAAATGCCACACAAACTGCTCATATGCCCTTTACCTGTCAACCCGACCACTCTGCAGACCCACCCCAAACCACACCAAAACACACACACACACATACAGTACATATGCACGCATAAACAGTCACTTCAGATCAAATAACATTGGTAAAAGCATGAAAAGATAGGGCTGTGTGCAGATGCAAACAACTGAAGTCTGCACCAGGAGCAGTTTTGTATCATTTTAGCCGAGGGTTGTAAAAACTTTTGGAATCAGGAAGCAGCCGAGGGACGATTGGAGCCGTGCGAGTTGGGAATGACATTTGCAAATGAATTAGCACAGACTATAGAATTAAACATCAAACTCTGAGTCAGGCTTTGAACTTAAATAGCCAGTAACCAGTTCTCATTTTAGTCTCCGGGGGTCCGAGATCAAATGGTCCGACAGGCACATTTGTCGCCATGGTCTTAGTAATGGGCTTCTCCATATGACGTTACTGAAATGTGTCATATTTTAATGCATTAAAAAAGCATAAAAGGTGCCGGATTTTTTTCTTCACATGAGGGTGTGAGCCGCTCGCTGTGGTAATGAATGATCCTGCAGTTCTTTCCTATTATGCTGCTGTCAGACTGTACAATGAACACTTTTTGTGACAATGAACACTTTTTGTGACCGGTTTTTACACTCAAAGTCTAAACAGTTTCATATTAAATTGCATTCTTTAAAAGCCTTTTAGTTCAGAGCGGTAGAGGTCAGGACGAGGCAAAAGTGGGTCGAATTAATTATGTAAATAGTTGGACAGGTGCAGGAGGATTACTATTGTGGAGGGTGACCGATACGGTTTTTGACTACAGCGGCACGCCATAAAGAATCCTCCGTTTTGACTTGAATAAATGAATTGAAAGTTATGGCTGTGTAGGTACGAGACGGTGCAGTGTGTGTCCAGATGCTGCCTGATGTGTTTAGGCCATACATGTGTCAGTGATATTCTAGACATGTAATACACATGGGAAACAATTAAGCAGAGGTTGTTATGGAATTACACATAGACAGTGGCTCAGTTGGTAGAGCATTGGCCTTCGGGCCTGAAGGTCGTGGGTTTGAGCCCACCACAAGACCTACTTCACGACTCCCACTGATGACTGCTGTCATTGTGTCCAACTCTGACTGCCACCCCCTGACCCAGAAATGGATTAAGGGGAAGAAAATGTATGTATGAATTGTAAATTGAAATGCATTAATAAATACAAATTTAAATAGTGAATACACCAAAACAAGGTGAAACTATGGCAAATACTGCTTGATTGTATATTTAAGTTTGGAATTTTGAAATTTAAGTCCATCCATCCATCCATTTCTTCCCCTTAATCCATTTCTGGGTCGGGGGGGTGGCAGTCAGAGCTGCACCCAATTCACTTAGCACCAGCCCCTCACTGATCCTCTGCAGGTGGTGAGTCCACAGGAGGACGGCTGCTCTGTCAGTGACAATACAGCCTTGATTTTTCAGCGGGGGGTTTAGGCAATGCAGGGTTAAGTGTCTTGCCCAAGGACACAACGACAGCAGTCATCAGTGGGAGTCGGTGGAGAAGGTCCCGTGGTGGGCTTGAACCATGGATCTATTATATTAACTGCATAGGGTATTACTAGCTTGGAGCTGAATAACTCACGTGCTCAGGGGATTCTTGCGGTACTGCAGACTGAACCAGACTAAATTCACGTGGGCTACCCAGAAATTTTCCCCATAGGACTCAATGCATATTAAAACAGCTCGACCTCAGCTGACAGAGAACCTACAGCTTTCATAAAGATAGGATTTTGTGGGGATTTTAGTGTCCCTTGTCATCCTGAACTTTTTTTCTTCTTAAATCCTTCGGTTTTGTTTAAATCCACACTTTAGTGCCACAAACTCTGCTCCTCTGGCTCTCGCTCTAACTCCCGCTCTGATGAACTGCTCTGATTGGTCAGAGCGCGGCCGAGCCCCTCTGTGCACGTGCGTGAGACCCGGTGTGAGACCCACACACGCGTGTTTGGCGCAACGCATTATGGGAGATCATCCACTGCGCAGAACCGGGAGGACCAGACGATGCCTAAATACAGGCGAGTTTCCCATAGATCTTTGCGAGTTTCAGGCGACTTCCGCTAATCTTTCAGCCCCCATGCCGTCACAAAGCGCCACTGAGCACAACCATTCATTTGAATAGGGCGCCATCTTGGATCGCCGGGGCTTGGCTTGAACCCACAACCTTCAGGCTCAAAGGCCAGTGCTCTACCAACTGAGCTACTGTCGCTCACTGTGTCGAAATTTAAGTCATTATCCTTAATACATGCTAAAACTGGTGATTATAAAACAGCAAAACTAAATGTTAACTGCTGCAAGTAATTGGCGTGTTGGTAACTATGTGTATGTGTATGGTAAGTAGCACTTGACTGAGATTGCTTTGAACCAGTCTAGGATTTAGATCATTTCATAAAACATAATTACAATGAGATAAACCACATATAGAAACATAAAAAGTCACAAAAATATATAAAAACAAAGTAATTACACTTCTAGTTCCAGTATTAAGAAAACTATTTGAAAATCCATGATAAAATGTAGATAAAAGTCCCTTGTGTTCTCTCCCCTGGCAGAGCTCGTGTGACCCCGTGGCCAACCACTCTGAGTCCATCAGTCACACGGTGGCGGTGCCGCTGCAGGCCACGCTGGGCACTCTGGAGGAGATCGCCTGCTGATCCTCCGCTGTCCTGTCCCACCGGAGTGTCGCCCCCTAGAGGCCACAGCAGCACTGCAGAGACACAGCGCTTGGGACGGGACAGGGCCTGCCAACGGGACGGCAAACCTCACTCCAAAAAGCCACAAAGGGAGATAACGGAGGTGTCGGCGGACTCGCTCGATAAACTCCTCAAAGCGCACACTTATGGACGAGGTGGGATTGGTTTACCCACAATGCAACATGTTTCTATCAAATGGACACGTTCATGAGATGCTCACTGCCAAATAAACTGTCTGTGCTGTTACTAAGAGCATGTGTTGATCTCTTGTTTGCCGACGCAGACAGCAGACTGCGGGGTTGCTTTCTGTGATGTCGCCCCCTACCTGCAGGACAAGGAACTAGCCCTGCTGTGAATGTACAGAGCCCATAAATTATACCATGAATACTGATGTCATCTGCACTGTTTGTATAGTTTTTATTTCTGCCTATTGTTCACAAAAAAATACAAACATTTTACTTTGCGCTAGCATTTATAGAAATGTATTGAACTGTTTAGATTTTTATTTTTAAGAGACAGTTTTTTACCTGGAAATGTATGCCAAAGGTATGATAAAACATAAGGGCCGTTAAGAAGATTGGTTTTTAATACATTCATTTAGTTGTAAACAATGCCTTCTGGACTAACATATAGTAGGGTTTTTAGTTCCAACCAAACACTGGAGCAGAACAGACTCCACCCATTTCCTCAAGTGATTTCAGTATTCTGGGAGTCAATTTGACAGCTCCGATTAAAACCAATGGAATTCTGGGAAAGAAAAAAAAAACATTTATAGTTTTTCACTACATATAAAATACTATTTATTAAAATGTTTCTTTAAATCTTGAATACACACTAAAACTGTTTTTATATCTTGCATACAACAACACAAAAAAGTTACTGTAGTAAGTAAACAGTGTGTTGCTATGGTAACTTGCCCTTGATCCAAGCTGAGATTGATCTGAACCAGTGTAGGAGCAGTCTAGGGTGGCCAACATTTTTAAACATATCAACAAAAAAACGTTTCCTAACCAAAAATGTACAAAAGTCGTCAAATTGACTGCTCTGGTAGTTCTAGTGTTAAGGAAATGGGTGGAGTGGCCCAGTTTGACACACATGAGTCATACATAATAAAGGGTAAACAAACATTCATAAAGCGCTCTTAAAACAGTTCTTTATGACCCTTTAAATTGGAGGTTTACAGTTCAACGCTCTGCAAATATTTGGGATAAAGATCCAGCTCTAGAATAGTTCTGCTGTCATTTTATTCAACGTAGCCAAATGTGCCAAGAAAACCAAAGCACTGCATTTGAACTGTTTACTCCACACCAGACACGCTGTATTGGAAAGAAACAAAATATCGTCTGTCAGAAGTTTGAACAAGGCTGTGATGGTGTTGTCCTCAAAATTCACTCTGGCATTTTCTCTGTGAACATTGTGGCTTTACGTCAAAATCCTGTGTGTGCAAAGACAAGATGAAAGTTAATTTTGTTTTATCAATCATAAAGACATCACCGGGTTCAAGTGGCTGTGCTTTTTGGGATTATGATTTCCATCTGTGGCTTCTGTCGGTCTGTCTCTTTCTCTCTCTCATCCTTCAAAAGACACATTGCTGGACAGAGCCGCCGGAGCCAAAATGGCCGCCCTTTCCTCAGCTTCAGATGTTAGTGCTGGACTGCAGTCTCCCGATCTGTGACGCGGCTTACTTTGTGTGTTTTTAATGTGGGTCAATTAAAAGATAAAGTTGTTTTTGCAGCTGTGGCTCCCCGTTGTGCAAAGTCTTTCATTTATTTATATGCCGTTTCTATTGCACAAATCACCAGCCTTTGCATAATACATGACACAATTAAATTTGAGGAAATAAACAACGTGCTCGTGATGTGTGTGGTGTTTGGTGCTCAAAGGTCAAATGCTGGGCACCAGAAATGTTTTCAATGAGTCCAACTTTATTTTAGACCAATTGAGGTCAAGTTCCTACACTTTACAAAGAAGAATTGTCCGTGATGACTCATGGGAAGCACTCAGACCTCAGAAAGACTGGATTGTCTACTTTCATCAGCAAAAATAAGTTCTCCTATAATTGTCATGTAATCCCAAGTTGAATAGAGGGTCTCAGACAAATAAAGTACGTCAATGGCAGTCAATGAGTTAAAGGCGCTATACCAGTTTCTGCAATGTTTGAATGTTTAGCACCGCCCCCCAACTCGCTCAATGGCTTCTCATTTCCCCTACGCTCTCATCCCACGGAGCCACCTAGTTTTATTTGCGATCTGATACATATGCTAACATTAGCATTAGCGCAACTTCTTGTAAGCTCTGCAACAATCACTGATGAAATGGCACTAAAGCAACGCACTGCTAACACAATATATAAGTAAAAGAATATTGCTAGTTTTGCGTCGTAATGTATTTATTTAAAACATTAGAATATATTCTAATATTTAATTATATTTGTTATTGAGCTCCTCAAAGCAGCAGCACTCCACTGACTTGAATGCAATTCTTCCAATCATTTTTTCTTGATAACAGAAGTCTCAAACCAATAAGGACCGAAGCCCCAATGCAATCTCTGTTTGTAATTCAGGTGTGTAAAATACTGCCATTACTCTGCAAGTACAACAAGCTATCAGCGCTTGTCACTACACACTTGTCTGTGTAGAGAAGCTAGCGGAGCTAGCCACGCTCAATAAACAAATACATATCTATCAATCAACACCATTAAACATCAATCGGACAATACAGTACACATATACATCCTTAAAGCTGCACTAACTGACTTTATTTTCGTATTCATTACGAAAATGCTATCCATGTCCATGTAGTGCATTGGGATATACGTCCTTTTGAAGAATAATTAGCGCAGATTTGTGCTGGCGTGACATTATATTTTAGATCGAGTTTTGATGAAACAAGGAAGAGAATGTGTTTCGGGTCGCGGATTGTGACCAATCACAGCGGACCACTGGCCCCCACTTTCGTGAGAAATCTACAGGTCCGTTAGCATAGACAGCTGAGTTAGCACAACAAGCCGAGGAGCTAACCTGAAGCTTCGTGTGTCTTCGTCACCGGTTACTGCTTACTTAGCAAAACAGCCATCCAAAAGAAAGTCCCATTCCTCCGCGCTTCCCGGTTCTATCGTTTTATGGTCACGCCATCCACGTGAAAATCCATATTCATGTATTATCCATATTGGGAGACACTAGCTCCGTCCCAACAGTGAGTGTGTGTGGGGGCGATAGCTTCGTGGGTGCGGGGAGGGGAGCAGAAAGAGCGAGTCCGCGGCTTCAAAATCCCAAAGTCAGTTAGTGCAGCTTTAACACACATTCACGGACGATTTCAGAATTTGCTTTTAACGTTTTCATGACAAAAATACTGTTTTAATGTGACAAAAAGCGATTGCGAAAAACCCGGAAGTTACCATGAAACAGCTAGCTAGCGTAGCTGTTACCTGCCTAGCACGTCCCGGTGAAACCTTTGGGAGCTAACTATTTTATTTGCAGTCATTAAATACATTTAAAATTATAAGGGCTGTCTAATATTTGTTCAAATATGTATATATTTTTTATTTTAAAATTATAATCGAATTTTGAAGTCGAAGCCCTGGTTTTTAGCAGCGCTGTAGAGGCTAGAGGACACAGGCTGTTCGCTGCTCGTTCTGTGAGCGGAGGAGAACGAGCGTCCTGCTCAGACTCTACTCAGCACTTTTCACTGCTTGTAATTCATACACAGCTGAATCAATTACCTCAAGTTTTCAATTACATGATGTATTATGATACAACTTGTATGTAGTAAAAAGCATTTTTATGAACTACTTAGAAAAAAAATCGGGTATAGCTTCTTTAATAGACATATTAATATATAATTCGCTCCAAATCGAGACTTCAACATTGTCAAAAATATGAAATTTCAGCTAAGATTGAAATGATTTCCCATCATGCTTTCACAGCTATTTTTCTGTCATTGAAAAAGCCAAAACTACAATCACTCATTCAACTCAAGCTCCAACACTTTCCAGACACATTTGTCCAAAGTCTGGACCTTTTAAATCTGCCATCTTTTGTGATTTGAGGTTTTGAAGTAAGTGCCAGTTCAATCCCCCACACTGTGTAGAGCCATAAACTAAAGTGAAACTGAAAAGCCACCGCTTCACCGCTTCACGGCTGCAGAGACCAGTGCCTTACACACCTCCTAACTTTAAAGGAATAGGCCACCGTTATTACATACTGACATTTGTTCTTACCTTATAATACCTTGTATTATTACGCCTCACAATATAGTACCCCTTTTTATCCACTGAGAAAATCGACATGTTACATTTCTGTGTTACTATACTTTGTAGTGTAACACGTCACGTAACTGTATTTAAAAAGGAAACACGTGGAAGAGTTTGGTAGCTTCTAACGGGAGCTGATTTGTGACTATACAGAATGTGGAAGAGGCTGCGTTTGTGCTCCGTTTGCATGACAGAGCGCACGGACAAAGTCCGTATGTAAAAACGGTGGCCTATTCCTTTAAGCTTGTGTGGTCAACAACATTCACAATGAAATAATCACTTACACTAAATAGTAATCATTATTCACTCAAGATCACGCTAAGCCTGTATGATGTAGCGTGGATGGACTCCGAACCACCGACCAGGCGGGAGTTCACCTTTTATTCCAGCTATTCTGTATTGTGCTAAACCCACAAATCCCTGCTGTGAATACTAATAAAGGGGAACTTATGTGAACTCTCTGATGCCTGAGGAAACAGAATAGCTGAAGTGTCCTGAAGTGTCACCTGATCTGCCCACTGTCATGTCCCCCATACAACCTGAAGAAACCATGACAGTGCATTGGACCACATCTGCAGTTATACATTGACAATTGAAACGAAAAAAACATATAAAGGGTAATTTGAAGGTTGTCTGAAATAAAAATCCTGCCGTGCACTTTCCGCTACCTAATGCACCGATCCTTCCAAAAATCTCGTAATTTGGTTTGTTTATGCTTCACCAGACTCGCTGAATTGGAAAGAACAAAATGTCGGTTGTCAAAAGCTTGAACAAGGCTGTGGAAATGAGAAGAAAACATACAAAGGGGATTTGAGGATTGTCTCCAAATACATTTCTAATTACTGTCCTGTATTCCGTTGCCTTTTAACTGAAAGATAGTTGTCCACATCTTGAAAAAGGTCTAAAACTAAACTTCTTCAAAATGAGTGCTGTGTTAAACATGAGTAATAGTTATTTATATCGTTAGTCTGAATGTGGCTGAACCCTTAAGACAAAAACGTGGGGGAGAATGACTCAAAACGCTGCAGACATTAAACCTGCATTTGAGAGATAGGATTGAAACGTGTCGTCTCTGGCCGTGGCCTTCTTCCCCAAACGACACT